AAAAATTTGTTGTCGATTTTTATATCCTGCAAGTGTATGAATCGTAACAAGTACTATAGTAGATCAATGAGTCCAGATATCGTTTTCACAAGGACTACAATTGGTTAAATTATTTCTAACTTTAATTTGATCGAAAACAAATAATAAGGTTTATGATTGGTGTCTAAATTATTCTAACTAAACAAAATTATCTACTAAACACAATTTATTAAATTCAAGTTTTAAAAGTATGGGCGTGGATGCTAGGACTTATAATTTTATATATGGATCCCTTTTAATTTGCCAATCAAGATTCATTACTGTTGTAATGTTTAGTTGAATTCTTATAAAGTATTCAATTTACCCTTCTCGAGTTTTTATTGAATATATTTAACTAATTCAATTTCATATCTCTATGTGAATTAATATTAATCAAATGAAATATTAGTTCTAAGAATTCATATAAGACCGCAATAATTAGTATATGTATCTCTACACGTTATGCTAAATTACCGAATTTTAAGATGTGATCTAAATCTAATAATCACCTCTCGATTCGTAATAGATTCACAAAATCATTGAATAATTGGCCAAAAAAATCAAAGAATTAAATTCATGAATAAAATCAACACATGCATTTAAAAAACTAGATCTTGAATAAAAGAAATAAAAAGTCACACATAGATTATAATAAAAGAAAAATAGATAGTATAAAATTCATAATCGGGTTTTGAAATCTTAATCATGGTAATAATTGGATCTTGCATCAAGAATTTTCTTCAACCTCAAAAATCTTCAAACCCTAGCTATTGTTCTTTGATCTTGATGATTATGTTTTTCTCTCCTCCAAATTGTGTGGAACTCTAGAGTTGTATTTTTCTCTCTCAATGTGTGGAAACCCCCCCCCTCCCCTCCCCTCCCCTCCCCTCCCCAAAAGTGCCTGCATTCTTGTATTTATACTCCCGTTCATGTTTTTCCCAAATTTGGCCTCTTTTTAGGCTTTTCACGAGCCAAAACGCTGCAACCCTAAAACAGGCGATGCAATGCCTAAATGCTGTGTTCTAAATCTGGGTGGAGCCTAGACACTATAAGTGCAGCGCCTGGGAGTTGCCTCTCGATTCTAAAACTACTTCTTCCAGCTACTCGCAGCGCCATCGATGTCTGGGTGCTGATTTGCTGTTCCAAACTCATCCCTAGCGCTTGGGCGCCAATTTTGCTACTTCTTTTCCTTGATTTTGACTTGTTTGTTCACTTTATAACCTTTAAAACAATATTAGCAAACACATCAAAATATTCTATACTCATAGGATCTAGCAAATAATCGAGTTAAATTTGTTTAAAACTCATGAATAAAAATACACACGTCGGCCACATTCGCTTCCGTCGTAGCTTCGATATTTCCGACCATTTGGCCCCCTTCGCTTGATTGGTTCACGATGACAGGAAAACGTAAAATATTATATATAT